CCTACGGGATTAATGAATGATATGTCTTTAAACCTCTGGGTTCCATGAGAATGTATCCTCCAACCTATGGGTTCCTGGAAGAAAGTCCATATAACCTCCGGGTTCCTTGGCGAAAATCCTTAAAGTCTATGGGTTCCTGGACGAAAGTCCTTAAAACCTACGGGTTTCTGGATGAAAATCCTTAAAAATCGTTAGGTTCCTGGACTAAATTCCATACAACCTCTGGGTTTGTGAACAAAAGTACATATAAGCTTCGGGTTCCTGGACGAAGGTCCATCAAACCTCCGAGTTTCTGGACGAAAATCCATCCAGCCTTCGGGTTCATGGATCCAGCCTCCGGGTTCCTGGACGAAATTCCTTCCAGCCTCCGGGTTCCTGGAAGAAAGTCCATCCAACCTTTGGGTTCCTGCACGAAAGTCCATCTAACCTTCGGTTACATGAATAAAATTCATACAACCTTCGCGTTTCAAAAAATCACTTCCTAAACCTATGGGTTCCAGGAAGTAGGATACAAGGTCATCCAAGGATTTATAATGTCCTACCAGTATGGGCAGATTGCAATGTGATACACAGTTGAGAGTGGCCAACAATCGATGGTAGAGTTCAACATAAAATCTCACCTTATTTATCCAGCAAGAATATTACTGTTCACTAAAGATGGCTTGTCTAAGAGATCAAATCTGATACCTAAAATATATTTTATCTCCTGCTACCATGAAATCACATGCTGAAGGTCCCTCTGCCAAAGGTCAAGGTACAATCGTGAGACAAGGCAAGAAGTTACATCATCAAAACTTCAAGGCCCAGGAAATATGCTAAACACAACAAGGGGAACCGGCATGAGGACTTTAATGAAAGGCCCCTGCTGATTTTACAAGCTCAACAAAGATCGAACTCTTAATAATAAGAGATAAAAGAGGAGCAAGTAAGGCCAGCATAACCAAGCATGAGGATCCTCAATTTTGGTCTCCAGGTATTTAACCTCCTTCTCCTCCTGATCTTTAGCCTTTTCAAGATTTTCCTTCTCAGAAATCCTGGGCCCTGACCCATATACTCCTCCACATGATTCATGGAGCCAGAGAATCCTCAAGAAATGTAAATTGAATTCCTATTCTGAACTAAGGCGGAGTGCAGCTACAGGAGCAGCACAAGCATCTCGGGTAACCCCCCCCCCCCCTCCAATGTTCAATGGCAGTGGATCCACTTTAGACGATGTATCTCTACTTCTAGGAAATTTTCTCTCCTACTCCAACATTAGGACTCCCATGTGCAGTCCATCGGAATCGAGAATACCAATAGATCCACATGATCATCACCACTCCCAACAAAAACATGCCCATTGAAGCATGTTTGTAAGTAACTTGAAATTTGTCCACGCCATGACATCATGCCCACTGGGTGTACCAATGAATATACTACTTGATCCAGACCATATGTCTATATTGGACCAAGGATCATTGTTCATTCTCCAGGCCTCCAATCAGGCTATGAATCCTTTCAAACAGTGTGCATGTACATTGAAGCACTACCAGCAAGGCAGTTTGATGGCTCAAACTTTAACTTCTGCTTCAGTAGATGAGCCGACGTCCTACTCCAAATTCAACAAGGAACTTGTACTATGGTACAACTCATGAAATCCTATGAAGAAATTCATGTTATTTTCTGCCTTCAGACATAAACCAAAAAATAAGAGGAAAACTGTTGAATGACTGAAGGACTTTTCCTGCCTTAAGATAAATGAAAATCTTCCTTAATATAAGGTAATCAGCTTAGATAACAAAGAATCTTCCTAAATCCAAGAGAAAGAAAAAATATTCTAATATATATATGACAATCCTTAAGAAAAATGGAAATATTCTATTATCTAAGAATATAATGAATATTTTCAAATTCTAAGAGAAGAACACGAATTCTAGTATAAATATAGGTTTATTAAACCTAGAGAGAAGGGGAACACGTCCACCGTAGGGATTAACACGTCCATCGACAGAGACACCAATTCTACAGCCGCCAAGGCAAGATTTCTCACCTAGAATACCATCTTCATCAACATGCCTATGACGGGCTGATCTTCGTGATTTCTCTCAACCAGACCAAGATATATGCTCACTGCAGCATGTCAACAAGTCTACTTAATTAATGGCTCGGCCACGATCTCTTGCTTATCAACATGAACACACCATGCTCACTAAAGCATATCGACATTGAAGCATATCGACTATTCTATCATCTGGTCTGGCCATGTGCCCTCTATAACATTTATCTCATATTAACTACAGAGCCACGTGCTCATAAGCCACATTCCCACCAGGCCACGCGCCCATCTAGGCTAGCACCTCCATTAATATGAACTAAAAATGGCTTGATCCCTCATGGGTACGTACGTGGCAATCACCACTAAAAAATGCAGCTGTAAATGCAAACACCCAGAGCCCAGAAGATACCTTCGGAGGTGAAAACCATCAATTATAAAGCAGGAAGATCATGCGGTTTTTCACTATAAACAAGCAGCTCATGCCTAACAATCAATCTCTCTTATTGCTTTCAAGTTATTCACAACATATACTGGCCCGAATCCATATGACATTAGTCTAAGGGCATGATCGCCTAGTTTATCAATAATTGAAGTAGAAATAAGTACTATGATGACTTGTTTCTTCTCCCTATCATTTCATAGAACTGAACATGAATCGCTTACACTTAAAAATACCCTAACAACTTCATGGTTTGTCATGAATCTTTTGTGATTTTTCGTGGCTATTTCCCAATATAGCCATGAAAATATGAGATGTATTCATGATTAAAATTGTGGCTATACTTGATTTTTCTAAATGATACATGAGTCACGTATTTTTACCCATTATGATTTCAGTTACTAAAACAAAAATCTTCTAAAATGTTTCTCCACTCGAATTTCAACACATCAAGAAACAATAATAAAAGTGTAATTTTAATTTCTTAACTATTCTTAAATTGCTGCCTCTTGTCTACTCTTCTCGGATCCGGGTTCGAATCAAGTTGTTGGAAAAGACAATTCATCTCCTTTAACTGAGTTAGCAGACTCGGGATCTGGAAATGAAATGCACCAATGGTTTTATAATTTTCTGTATAAAAATAGTCTAAGAAAAAAAAAAAAGAGCATTTGTACAATGTGACGTTGGAAAAGATGCCTCTAGTGTCAACTTTTGTCTGAAAATGTAACCCATTTTGTAGATATAACAACAAGAACAACGTGCAAAGATACTTTGTCTTCTATACAGACGATGGAGAATTCACTAGATGTTAAGCCTGATCCTTATATATGTCTCTATCCATAGATTTTAACCAGACACTAAATATTTCCTCTATGAAAACGAACTTACCATCTACTGGATTAAGTCGGCTGGATAAGACAGATATGTTAACAAAAATCAGTGTTATCGCATAAATGTCTCTGGTGGTTACACAGGAATAAGGGTATAAGATTCTCAGGCTATATCAAAGAATCAAAACTTTTGTGAAAGTTTGGTTTTTGTGTCGCGGGCATGCTGCAACTTTTTCATGTGGGATATGAACTCCTACAAAATATGACAACCCGAAAGACATGAGTCACACTGAAAAGAATCATTAAACTGTCGCTGCAATGGACATTTTGGTGTTTTTGCTAATGGGTAAATGAAGGAAGTGTATATGTGACCAGATCACTAAATCTAATACTATTCTATATGATGTGAAGAATGTTTTCTTGATGAAACAAAGTGTTTCACATGCAGATAACATCAGTACATGAGAGCTTATAGTGCAGAGATATAGCAAATGATACGAGATGGCATGTGAGATATATATATCTACAAAAATAACATAGCTTAAAATATTACGTCAAAAAAACTTATATGATATTTAACTCTTTTGAAGATTTAGGGGATCTTCCCACTTGGATCAAGTGTTATATTATAGTTTTTTTTTTTTTTTTTGAGTTCTGAAATGGTGGAGAGCATAATCATTGGTCTCTTCCTTTTCATTTCCACTTTTTTTTTTTTGTAAGTGTAAATCATCTGTGAAGGAAAGAAAGAAGTTATTGTGAATAATAAATAAAAAGAATGAAGTTAAAAAAGTTACGAAGCTGCCCGCATGACTGTGGTCAGGTGGAAGATGAGACCTGGGAATGTCCTACAACAGTTTCCCAGGGTTCGAATCTCTCTTGAAACAAAATCACAGTTATGTGGGAAGTCTGTGCTTGAGCTTCGATCTAGTCAGTTTATCTGGTAGTTTGGTGATAAGTGATCTATCTACTGTTGACATTAATCAGAATATATTACAAACTCGAGTCAGACAGTCTGGGAGACAATCCATTATTTAGCAGTAAGTGTGTTTTCTTCCCCAAAATAACCGATCAATCTATAGAATATATCCAAAAAAAAGAAAAAAAGTTACGGAGCTGGTTAAATAATTGAAGAATCTAGTACTCTTATGCTTTTGAGTTCCATTATTAGAACTTGTTAAAGACTCTATCACTTTTATTATCTGCAGTCACATCAAACGGTTAAGAGCATTGTAAAACCTAATAACAGCTGATGATTTTTCAATATAAAAAACGTTTTGTAAAATGACAGTTGCAATATTAGAATTCACAGGAGCCAAGACTGGAGATGATGCTTTATTTAATTTATCTTAAGAGAAATATAAATGGAATGGAACTAGAGTAAGATTCTGATAAATGGAACAAAGGAAGAGATATGTATAAATATAAGTTTTAAAATAAATTAAACTGATAGAGAGAGAGGAGGTGGGAACCCACCATAGACGATTGATCGGCCAACATCGTAAAGGAAGTCTTGTTTATGTCTCTCTATTCCTCTTTCTGTTCTTACAACACAACATGAGTAGTGCTCTAAGTGCGTGAGGGTGTTTTTCACACTACTATATATTCACATGGGTTCGCTTTGAGGAAGATCAAGAAGAAAGTAACCATAAGTCACTCCCTTTTAAGCTTTCTTACCTTTGTTCTTTAATTTGGTACCGTTACAACCATTAATAACTTTCCATAAGAGCATCACAACGGCTACAACTACAAGAACGAGTAAAGAAACTGGTTCACAGCCCATCATGCCTCAAAATTGCATAGCACCAAGGCCTGAAGAAAATGGCGACACCATGGTACAAGGTCTGACAGATATGTCAGAAACACAGAGCAAACCTGTACTAGCCTTCCCTGTTGTAAATTCACAGCCTTGTCTCCAGCTCTCCATGTACCCCATAATTATCAAGGTGTCTCTCTCTCTCTCTCTCTCTCTCTCTCTCTCTCTCTCTCTCTCTCTCTCTCTCTCTCTCTCTCTCTTGCTGTTATGTTCACTTCTTGTTTCAAATTGCTGCTGAGTTTTGATTTTTACCTGCAAAAAAGAACTCGTAAGAATAGTTCTTACAACTTTTTCCAATGATTGCTTTGTGGTTGTACAGTTTGAGGAGGTTGTGTACAAGGTTAAGATAGAGCAGACAAGTCAGTGCTTAGGATCATGGAGCTGCAAAGAGAAGACTATTCTTAATGGTATAACAGGGATGGTTTGTCCAGGAGAGATTCTAGCTATGTTAGGTCCATCAGGAAGTGGAAAAACCACTCTTCTGTCAGCTCTTGGGGGCCGCCTCTCAAAAACTTTCTCAGGGAAAGTCATCTACAACGGTCAGCCTTTCTCTGGCTGCATCAAGCGCAGAACAGGGTTTGTTGCTCAGGATGATGTCCTGTACCCTCATCTCACCGTTTGGGAGACTCTCTTCTTCACAGCACTTCTAAGGCTACCAAGCAGTTTGACCAGAGACGAGAAGGCTGAGCATGTGGACCGAGTTATCGCTGAACTAGGATTGACTAGATGTACCAACAGCATGATAGGAGGACCACTGTTCAGAGGAATATCAGGAGGTGAGAAGAAAAGGGTTAGCATTGGTCAAGAAATGCTGATCAATCCTAGCTTGCTCCTTCTTGATGAACCCACTTCAGGTCTTGATTCTACCACTGCTCACCGCATAGTGACCACAATCAAAAGGCTGGCATCTGGAGGAAGAACAGTGGTCACCACCATTCATCAGCCATCAAGCCGCATATACCATATGTTTGACAAGGTGGTTTTGCTGTCTGAAGGTAGTCCTATCTACTATGGTCCTGCATCTCCTGCTTTGGAATATTTCACTTCTGTTGGATTCTCCACTTCCATGACAGTTAACCCAGCTGACCTTTTACTTGACCTTGCAAATGGTAAAAGACCTTTCTCTTTAAGCTTCTGCGTGATTAATAATGAGATAAAAAAAAGTCTTTTAACTATTTAAAACTTGGAAAAACTGCAGGAATCCCACCTGATTCTCAAAAGGAGACCACAGAACAAGAACAGAAGACAGTGAAAGAAGCTCTTATTTCAGCTTATGAAAAGAACATTTCTACTAAACTGAAAGCTGAACTCTGCAATGCGGATTCCCATAGCTTTGAGTACACCAAAACTGCTGGTAATTATCGCGTTCTGAAGTATACCTTGTTTGATTATCCTTATGTTAACCTGACTTTATCTGTTCTTTAAATGGAGCAGCAAAAAATATCAAGTCAGAACAATGGTGCACAAGTTGGTGGTACCAGTTCACTGTATTGCTCCAAAGAGGGGTCAGAGAGAGGAGATTCGAATCTTTTAACAAGCTCAGGATTTTCCAAGTCATCAGTGTGGCTTTTCTTGGTGGCCTTCTCTGGTGGCATACTCCAAAATCTCACCTCCAAGATAGAGTAAGACTCTTCTTGGATGAATAAAATAGATAATGATCATCTTTGAATTGTCACATTAGTGTTCTTACAATCATATTCTACAATAATTGCAGACTGCTTTGCTCTTCTTCTTCTCAGTCTTTTGGGGATTCTATCCACTATACAACGCGGTTTTCACATTTCCACAAGAGAAAAGAATGCTAATCAAGGAGAGGTCTTCAGGAATGTACCGTCTTTCATCCTATTTCATGGCTAGAAACGTTGGAGACCTACCCTTGGAACTCGCACTTCCAACTGCTTTTGTGATCATAATATACTGGATGGGTGGGCTCAAACCTGACCCCACAACATTTTTCCTGTCACTACTGGTTGTTCTCTACTCCGTTCTTGTTGCTCAAGGTCTTGGCTTGGCCTTTGGTGCTCTCCTTATGAACATCAAGCAAGCCACAACGTTAGCATCTGTTACAACACTAGTGTTTCTCATAGCTGGAGGGTACTACGTGCAACAAATCCCTCCCTTCATTGTATGGCTAAAGTACCTAAGCTATAGCTACTACTGCTACAAACTGCTTTTGGGTATTCAATACACTGATGACGACTACTATGAGTGTTCAGAAGGGGTCTGGTGCCGAGTTGGAGATTTCCCAGGAATCAAAGCCATGGGACTGAACAATTTGTGGATAGATGTTTTTGTTATGGGAGTGATGCTGGTGGGTTACAGGCTCATAGCCTACATGGCACTGCACCGAGTGAAGTTGAGGTAAAAGATGCAGCCAAAGATAACCACAAGAAGTTCCAAAGAAACTTTCCATCACCTGTTACCAAGAAATAATGTTAGTATTAGATAAGATATTAAAAGTCGTCGAGTTTTGGTCGATTTTACTTGAGTATCCGAGATATATATCCGACGACTTTCTTTTGTTTTAGGCTTAGATGATGATGATGTTCCTACGTTTGAGAATAAAAGAGTGAGATAATATAATAATGTATGAGATAAGAAAGGGAAGCCAAAGTATATACCCCCCATCTGCAAAATAGTTAAAACGAAAGTGACTAAACTTTGGAGTCCACTCTCCTGTTGTATCTTTGTGGGGTTCCTTAAGACTTTCGGTTCATTCTTTATACCTTACTAGTCACCTGCAAGTGCATCAACTGGTGAAAACAATGAGATGTATGTATAAGATAAGGATTAAAATAAGTTGCTAATAATTAGACGAACAACGACAGGACATAAGCAAACATACCTGACCGTGGCTCTCTTTGTTATCTCAAAATTCTCTGATGGTAAATTGTTGTTTCTTTTTCACAAAAGCAAGTATTAGGGCTGGGCATTAGGATGCCCGTTCGTTACGGGTATTTTAGTTAAGAAAGTCTAGTACCCATGGCCATTAGGATATTTTCATTTTGGGTTGAGTTCGGTCAGTAGTTTCAAGGTTCATGTATTTTCGGATATAACCGAATATCTGAATTCTGTATTAAATATTAAAATATTTATAGTATTGACATATCTTCAAATTTTTCCTTCCAAACTTATATTTGTATAATACAAATATACAAAAAAAAGAAGTTCAAATACATAACACATAACATGTCAAGTTGACAAGTATATAACAGGTTTGGTTTTAAATCAATAAATATGTTTTAACCATCTTATATAATTTCGGATATTCGAATTATCTTCGTCAGTGTTCTATAAATCATTGGATATTAATGAAACGATCATTTAAATCGATTATTTAGAAATAAAGTTAAGACATTCAAAAATCAACCTGAACAATCGGAATTTTATATTTTTGTCGAATCCTTTCTATCTCATAATCGAGCTTGTGTAGGTAAATGTTGTCTGGTAGGGACGATAGTCGTACACTGTGTGGCCCGCCTCACCATTCCATTTCCTTTCATCAACACTAATTAATGAGAGTTTCCCCTTATTATGGAAGTAACCAAACTCACTATGACAACTCGAATAATAGTAGGAATTTACAATTCCGATTCCCCAGCGGAGCATAACCACTTTCTTACTCGTAAAGGCAGCAGTCAAACCAGCAACACCAAGTTTTGAAGAGCTTACCTAACAGATTTGTAGACGTCCAAAAAGCTTAAGATTTTAACAAGAAAGATATAGGCGATGGTGTTGCCTCTACCGACGCTGGTGTGCGAAAGCATGGGGAGCGAACGAGATTAGAAACCCTGGTAGTCCATGCCGTAAACAATGAGTGTTCGCCCTTGGTCTATTCTGATCTGGGGCTCAGCTAATGCGTTAAACACACTGTCTAACAACTGCCTAGCAATTTTTAAAATACTGATCTTTGTATATTAGATATTATCCAAACATATTTGGATATACAACTTCTAATTTAACGTTCATTTATATATTTTTATATATCGGATTGGATCCGAATTCAAGTTTTTCGGATTGAGTTTTGGCTTTGGGTCCGGATATAACGTCTGGCCATAGCAGGTACAAAGATAAGAATGCTATCAATTACAATCCATTATAGAAAGAAAAAAAAATAAGAAGGCAGACCTTTTAACAGCATAGTTATGGCAATTATAGCTAAAGGAATGAGCTTTCGCTTTCTTACTCATGTGGCAAATAATTAAAATAGCTTTGTTAGCTAAAAGAACTGGGGAGGCTACAGTGTATGGCTGAACAACATAGAGGAATCAAAAGGAGATAAACAAATCATTGGATGACAAGGCCCACAAGATATGCTTACATATTGAAACGTGATTCACTTTAGTCAAGTGGAAGCTGATGCGACAAGAAAATTAAAAAAAGGCAGCACAAAGAGAAATCCATGTCACTATCTACTTTGCCAAAGTGTCATTGTCATCACCAAGAAGAACCATCTTAGGAACCCAAGTAATAAAACAGAAACGTCAGTCATTCACCAATTCCTGACTAAATCCATCATCATCCTTGTGTTGTAGTGTTTTACATACGAAAGCAAGAGATCAGATGATCTAATCATGGTTCTTTACCTCAGTATAACTAGAGAGAGAGTAACACTGGTTGCTGTTTTTAGTGTACTTAATTAACATACATGCCATTTCAAAGTAATCGAAATCAACTTGGTGAAAATGCTTTGTCATTCACCACTTTGATCAACAAGTTGTGAGAAAGTCGTATACTATTCACAGAATTAGCATAGTATATAAAAGTCAGTTTGAGAGGTAGAAGAGCAAATAAAGAGCAGAATATAACTAGTTCACATCAAAAACAGAAATAGTTCAAGAGTTCAACTTCAAGATACAATATTGTTTTTGTTCTTCAAAAAAAAAAAAATAGATACAATATTTTTAGGGATCTCATATTTTTATAACACAAAACTATACCTTAGGACATCTCTAAAAGCAAATTCAAAATTTCAAATATAAATTTTTTTCATATTTCAAAAATCAACTTCAAGTTTTAAACAATAAAACTTCATATTTAAAGTATTACTATTCAGAATTTCATATTTTAAGTTTCATATTTTATAGTTTTTTATTATCTGTTTTTCAAATAATTTCGTCAACTTTATAATTATCATTTTAGTCTTTATAAATTTTTTATCTTTGCAAAATATGAATATATTTATAACAATAAAGGAAAGTATTATATAACAATATTATAATACACATTTAAAAAAATATCAAACAGAAAATACAAAAAAAAACACGATATGAAAACATATTATTACATCAATAAATGAAAATACAATATTTCAACAACTTTTAGCTTGTACTTTACAACTAGAATATAAAAGGACTTAATTGTCATTTCAAAATGCATGTAATATTATATTAAAATGTATTATCTTAGTAATTACTAGTGTATATAATATTGTTTTTATATGTTACTTTCGTTATATAAAAGTTTAATGATTTATATTAAGTTTTATCAATAAAAAAGACATAGTATAAAATGTAAAATTTTATTAAATCTAAAGCTTTTTTTTTTTTGAGAGAAACAACCTCAATCATCAACTTTCGGAAATTTGTAACACTAATCCTTTATTTTTTTTTGGACAATTGTAACACTAATCCTTATATTTTACTTTCTTCTCTAGAAAACATCCTCAGAGTCACACATTTTTATTGAAGCCCAGTTAGGCCCATATAAAATAAGTTTAATAAAGGCCCATAACGATTTAGCTAATTCCTTGTTAAATTAATTATTATCACTATATAAGCGCTGTCTCTTTTCTTCATTGGTCTGCTCACTAGGGTTATATTTGTCGGAAAAACGAAGAAGAGATGACGGCATTCTCTAGGGTTTTCGGCGGATGCCGGACACTGATGGCGAAGGCGGCGGCTAATGCGGCGGCTACTGGCGTTTCAGCTGGTAAAGAAGGAAAAGGAATACTAAAGACTGTTCCGGTCTCGAAGACGCTGGCTAGCTTCGCCGGAGAAAGCGAACTCTCTCGTGCCACAGCTGTGAAGAAAGTGTGGGAGCATATCAAGAGTAACAACCTTCAGGTACAGTTTCGGAGATTATTTGATTCTTGTGTTGTTACATTATATTGATTGATTTTGGGAAAAGTCTTTTGCTTGTGCTGAGTAGTAGAAACAATGTACTGGGTTCAAGTGTCTGATTCATTGAAAATATCTTCACCTGTTGAATCAGAGAACTGAGTAGTTGGGAGTGGGAGTATAGTGTGGTGGGTTTGGATATAAGGCATATGCTTCTCTGTTTTGTTAAGAACGGTTTTGTTTTGAATACGTAGAATCCAGATAATAGAAAGGAGATATTTTGCGATGATAAGTTGAAGACGATCTTTGAAGGCAAAGACAAAGTTGGATTCACTGAGATCGCCAAGCTCTTGTCCCCACATTTTCCTAAGTCGGTCTGATGATTGCTGATGTTTTTTTCTACCTAATCCAAGCAATAGTTTGCTTTCTCTCGATTCGTTTTTGATGTATGTACATTATATGAAGAAAAAAAAGAAGCAGCAAAACTCTGCTGGTTATATTTTTATGGTAATTTCGTTTGATTTTGGGATCTTTTGATATTGGTTGGTCTTTCATGCTCAATCAGTTTCATTAATTTATCAATTGTATGAAAGCTATAGATTTTTTTGGACTTATGATTATGCTTTAAATTGTGCAAATTATATATCAATAAAAGTAGTTTTGTTTAAGTTTATTACAACTGCCAACTATTATTCGTTTTTTTTTAATAATGTACATTTCATAAATAATTAAGCATAACCCCTTTCTATTCGCAAAAAGGAGAAAAAAACCCCTTTCTATTCGAATATACGGAAATGGTTTTCAAATTTCAGGAAAATTAGAAACATACATAGGTCTGTTGTGGACTCGGCTTTTATTTAACTGACGTTTGACACCTCGATCTACCTCGCAGCTTCAACACATGTTTCTTCGTGTAGTGATAAAAGTCGATTATGTAGATGTTTTGTTGTTAGGAATTTAACCTTTAACCTAGTGCTCAAACTTAGATAGAAATCAAATATCAAAAACTCTTTCCCTTTATTCACTATCAATGAAACCCTACAAGAACAAAACAGAAATCACAAGTTTATAGAAATCAAATATCAAAAACTCTTTCCCTTTATTCACTATCAATGAAACCCTACAAGAACAAAACAGAAATCACAAGTTTTCTTAAGAACCAAAACCTTAACTTATTGATTCTCATGATTTTTGTCTATTTGTCTAGCTCTCGTATTCTCTTTCGCTTTCTCGGATGATTATAAAAGCCATGACCACCTCCTCTATTTATAACATAAGTACCATCTTAACTTTTCTATTTTCCAATGTCTTTGTAAAGACATTGACCGACCTTTCTATAAGCTAAAAGGAAACTAACATCTTTTTCCTTATTTGGTTTTGTGCAGGATTCTTGTTGGGCTTCACAGGATTTGGCTCAATAACACACAATCTCCACCTTTGGGCTCAATCTCTACATCGTCTCCTTTCTTTGACAATATCGTCACACCAACTCAAGCTCTTTCCTCTAGAAAGCACGATCCGATCCCATGTCGTCTTTTGCTTCACCGTTGAATCCCTTGGAGGGTGATGACGTCTCGCCGACATATCCTTCCGCCTCCGGCAAGTCCCGTTTCTCCACCCTCTCTCACCTTGATTCCTTACACCGGATTTCGATGGAGACGACCTTTGCATCTTCAATGGCGATGAAGATGACTTCTGAACAGAACCTGTCTCATCCGGTGAACTGTGAATTGTTGTTTCTCCAACCAGCGTGACATTAACCCTTGTCTTTAGTCCCCTCCATGGTATTTTTCTGCAACTCTGAGATGCTCCTCGCAAATAACTTCCCTACAGTGATCAAAACCACTGATGTCTAATCGCTTATCCTATTCCTTTGTAGGATAGTGATTCAACTTCTCAAATCTCAACTCAACCTCTTGTAAAATCGCATCCTCTGAACATAGCTTGTTCTTCATCATGAGATGCCTGTAATCTCCAAGAAGCTCGCGAGTTCTTCTTGGTGACTGGCGAATCTCTATTTGCCTACTGGTGATGATCGATTTAATATGTCTTACCGGTGATACTGCAGCTTTCCGGTAAGGACCTTTGAGTTTTGAGTTTGCTTTGAAAACTTTCACTTATTTCCTTTTGAAGTTGTAAAAGCATTAACCCCTTTTTGATTTTGATAGTGAAACCCATTGGAGACTTCTCTGTTGCTCAGACGAACCCACAAACCTCTTCTCACTTCAACTTCTTGGTAAAGTTAATCCACTTCTCTTTATCCTGATTGAGATGATGCCTTTGATGTTATACTTATTTGGTGATCTGCTTTGTTTTCCCGGTTGTGATACTCGTCTCCCTTCAACTCTCCTTGGTGATTAGCCTCCATCATAACAGCTTTTTAAGACGTTCTCTCCTCTCCGGTGATCTATCTCTTCCTTCTCGACCTGGATACTCGTCTCCCTTCAGCTTCGTTTGCTGTTTAAGACGTTTTCTCAGGTCATCCCTTCACTTTAAATTTCTTTTTAAAGTTTAATCTTCATCCGATTTTTTCAAACTTTTGAGCGACTTTGTTTTGTTTCAGCTGCTCCACCTTGAGCTAAAACCTCAGTCTCGCATCCATACTCACAGGTAACCTTCTTTAAACTCCACCTACTTGAGTTTCCCATTATCAATATAAACCTGAAACTTTCTTGTTTCTTTTTCTCTGTCTCTGCGAGCTTTGAGACACGTTTGATAATGGCGTTACCTGGAGTGACTTTTTTCTTAGTTAGAGACGCAGCAAACCTGAAGCTCATGTCCATGTACTGCTTCAGAGAGATAATCTGCTGCGTTTTTATTAGAATGGTTCTTAGATAGTGTTGCGTCTTCCTTAACTCTATCTCTGAAGATACCAGCTTCCAATATTCTTGAAACTTTTCCCTCAGCTTCATTCCCAAGTTCCATATCCACGTTCTCCTCAGCTTTCTTCTAGTACTTCCGATCCTTGCTTTCCTTATCCTCCTCATGAGCTTTAGATCCTTCTTTCGTATCAGGTGCAGCCAAAACATGTGCCAAAAGATCACCATCTTTTTGCGTTACTTCTTTGACAAAAAAAAAATCATCTCTCGAAGATTCTGTCTGAGATTCTTCATTGCTCGCCATAGACTCAATTTCTTTTGTTTTTTCTATCGAGAAAGAGTCTCCACCTTGAGCTGATGAATCTTTTTTTTCAAAACCGAATGGAGTAGGTCTCTGAATCAGAAATCTTGCGAAAGTCACCTTTTTGACTTCTTCTTTCTAATTTCTTTCTCCACTCTAGGCATGAACTTCTTACTGTTAGCAATTGTGCCTTGTAGATAATAAACTCCATCGTGATATTTCCCTGATATCACTTTCTTGTTATCTTTGTAGAAGTGCACCATAAAATTGCTTCCGTTATACTTGCAACTTGATCTTTCTAGCATCCCATAGGAAATTAGATTTCTATTCACCTCTGGTATGTATCTAACACCCGTGAGTATCACTTCAGAGCCATCTGGATTCTGAATTTTCACTTTCCCAATTCCTTTGATGTTACATCGAGTGTTATTAGCCATTAACACTAGTCCTCCATTGAACTCCTGGAAATCAAACATAACTTCCTTGTTTGATGTACTATGATAAGAACATCCAGAATCCATGATCCATTCTTGCTTAGTGTGTTGCACACTTGCTGTTAACACTAACGGTTGCTTCGGTTATGCTGCTATGTTTGCAGATTCTCTATGTCTCCTTTCAGGACATTCTCTTTTCCAGTGTCCTTCTCCAGAGATAAAACAACTTGTATTGTTTTTATCGAACCTTTGCCTTGACTTAGATCTGCCCCTGCCGTTAGATTTTCCTCTCAATGGATTTGATTTTCCTTCACAACCTCTTTTCTCTGAAATGCCCCTTGATTCCATACAAACCCTCTCCTTCAGACCTGGATTTATTCAGCAATCACTACAAGAAAACTAAGAACTTACTACAAAATTTTACTAGGAAAATAATTCCTCGTAAATTTACTACAAAATTACTTGGCTTTTACGAGGAAACAAGTTTTCCTCGTAAGGTCCTCGTACAGGTACGAGAAAAATATTTCCTCGTAACACCGTAGTAACGTTACGAGGAAATTACATGGCAATAGTACATTTCCTCGTAAGACCGTAGTAAGTCAGTTTCCTCGTAAAGTCCTAGTAAAGTATTACTACGAAATTAAGAGAAACAGATTTGTTACTACGAAATTAGGAGGAACTGGATAGGAAATATCGAATTTAAATCAAAAACGTGTTTTGTACCTACATTTCCTAGCAATTTCCTAGTAAATGCTCAGATTCGAAAATTTCTATTAATACCACAATTGTGATTCATTTGAAACACACCAAAAAATAATCTGCTATAAGCTTGATCAAACACAAAAAAATGTTCGGTTAGGGAAATATTTTCGAGTTGCGGAAGTGGATGTATTCACACAGAGATAATAATGGGAGGGTGATGAAAGAATATCTCGAAGGGTTGGAGACGTTTATGCATCAAGCAGATTCTACACCACTCACGCAGGAAAGTGGTAAGATGTTTTGTCCTTGTCGGAAATGCTGCAATACAAAATTAGGCCATCGTGAAAATGTTTGGAAGCATTTAATAAATAGAGGTTTCATGCCATATTATTATATTTGGTATCAACATGGAGAAGACGATGCTAGTTGTAGGAATGAAGGTAGCAATAGTAATAGCAATTTTCAGGTTGAATCGGTTGATCATTTGCATAATGAAAATAGCTATCATCACCAAGAGGAACAAATGGTAGATTGTGATAGGGTTCATGATATGGTAGGTGATGCATTTGTAACTCATGATGATGATGAAGTTGAAGAACCTAACTTAGATGCAAATTTTTTTTATGAAATGATAGATGGTGCGAATGAGCCAATTTACAGTGGTTGTAGAGAAGGTCTGTCTAAATTGTCGTTGGCTGCTAGAATGATGAGTATTAAACCCGATCACAATCTACCTGAAAATTGTATGGATGCATGGGCAGACTTGTTTAAATAGTATTTGCCAGAAGACAATGTGTCTGCTGAATCTTATTATCAGATTCAGAAATCGGTATATAGTCTTGGGTTGCCCTCGGAGATGATAGACGTTTGCATCGACAACTGCATGATTTACTGGGGAGATGATGAGAATTTAGAAGAATGTCGATTTTGTAAGAAGCCACGATTCAAACCGCAAGGCCGAGGGCGTAATAGGGTACCGTACCAAAGGATGTGGTACCTACCAATCACAGACAGATTGAAAAGATTGAATCTGAGGAGACTGCTGGAAAGAATGAGATGGCATGCCGAGCATACTCAGACGGATGGAGAGATGACTCATCCATCAGATGCAAGAGCCTGGAAACATTTTAACAATGTACATCCACATTTCGCTAGCAATAGCCGGAATGTGTATCATGGATTATGCACTGATGGATTTAGTCCATTTGGAATGTCTGGGAGACAATATTCATTGTGGCCGGTCTTTCTTACACCGTATAACCTGCGACCGAAGATGTGCATGCGACGAGAGTTTCTATTCATGACCATATTAATACCTGATCCAAAACATCCAAAAAGATCTCTCGACGTT